CTTGGAAATAGCGAAAAAATCGAATTTCTTCAAACTCGCCCAGAATGAAGCCCTACGGGTACTAGCTACTAAAACATTGTTTTAAGTTCGGTAAATCCCAAAAAAATTGTTACGCAATTTTTTTCTTTTCGATGCCCCAAATCGGTTAAAATCGATCGAAAATGAGCGGCCCGTCGCATTTGTACTTCCTTTCTTGTATATTTAGAGCTATATAGATCGCGATTTGATTAGAACTAAAATATTTGATGAGTTTTCTAAGTTAACGACCCAAGACAGCTAAACGAGAGGTCTACATTTAGCCTATTTTCAAATGATAAAAAGGCCTGTACAGGCCCGCAAATGATCCCGGCCACCAAGTGATGCCCGGACTGCAAATGATCCCCAAATTGGACTGCAAATGATCCCAGGACCGGAACTGATTCCACCGCCAAAAGTTAGGAATGGCGTGGACTCCATGAAAAGTCTATCGATGGATACATATTTTCTCAATTATTTTACGTGAAGAAAAGACAAGCACTTCAGGCATAAAAGCAGCAATACAAAACTGCGCATAATACCAATTGACATGAGTCGACTGTATACATTTTTATGTAAAGAAACGCACTGCAAAAAGAAACATGCATCTTCGAAGATGCCTCAGCTCTGCTATCTAATTAACCGCTTCACAAATTACCCCGTACACTTCTTATGCTTGCGTCCTAGATAGGCACGGCTCCCACGAAAGTGCACAAGATTGCTTCGTGCGAGTAACCGCAGTGTTCTTTAGATAAATTTATTTGCATTCCGTAATTTTTTTAATGTCAATCTCCTCTGTGCCAAAAGCCCGGGAATTCTCAGTTGTGAACTGATCCTTTATTATCATACATCTCAGGCCCGGACTTAATAGAGTCATTCAAGGAAGGACCTAGCTAAACTACAAATTTCAAACACAGGTTTTCGTGACGTTGGATATCATTTTTAAAGTTGTGAAATTTGCATTCAAATCGTTCATACCGCGGCACATTTTGCTTGCGTTACATTCAGTAACTGTTCTATAAAAATATTGTATTGTTACTGTGAAACTCAGAAAACTGTGAATAGTTAATAACAGAACTATTTCAGGAATATTATAGCAGAAAACTAAATCGTGGTTTTGAGGTGTCCTGAATCTTATTTTGATTGGTTCAGTACAAAATTAACCTTTCGGAATCAAATCCAAATGTTCACGGATTTCTGAGTTTCACAGTAATAGAACAAAAAAACTATTGCATAAATTTGAAATCCACTGTCCAAATTCCTGATGTCCTTACATTTCTATCTTTTATGGCAATGCAACCATTTCCGGTCCGGGATCATTTACGATACAATCTGGCGATCATTTCCGGTCCGGGATCATTTGTGGTACAATTTGGGGATCATTTGGGGGCCGGGATCATTTGCGGGCCTGTACAGGCCTTCTGGTGCACGGATTTTCCCAACGCAACTAGTTTGGTCTGAAAGAGCATTGTTTATTCTTCAGATTAGTGAAATAAAATTTTTGGGTAAATGAAATCGTGAGCGCTGAGATAGCGAACTAAATGCAGCACTTCTTCCTGAAAACGTGACCTTTGACCCAAGTGTAACGAAACCAATTACTCCAAGAAAAGCAAACGCTTTGTTAAATCGAAACATTTTTCAGTGATATCTCTTCGAAACCATTATTGCAAGAAACGATTTCCAGATACGAAATTTTACAGGGTCAAAGAAGAAGCTAAAAGTCACATTTTGACTCAATAACTTTGTTTGCTGAGAATTGAAGTCAATGACCGTTGACGAATTCCAGTGAAATTTGCGAAAGTAGTTAGCCGATAACTACCTGAAAATATTTATATTTATAACAGAGTCGTCCTCTTGGATTAACCCCCAAAAGAAGCTGGATACATGTTTGGAACCTCTAAAAGAAGAAACTTTTAACGTTCCACCTGCCCACTGCTATTAATGTCATAAATTTCATGCACATGCTGACCGCATGTTTGTCGTAAAACCAACTGAACTCAACTGACAATCCCCAAAAATCTAACGTTTATCTTCGTGAATAGTTAGAAGCTAGAGCCAAGTTCCATTACCTTTTAGAAAGTGCTTGATTTTATTTGTTTGCGTCGACTATCTTCACTTAGTATCTCTCCCTATACATGTCACGTTCGAAAACCGAGAATGAGTCACGCCAAAATGCAGACCACGCGGACTGCTTGAGTACTTTTCCTTCTTACACTTGCTTGCGCCTTTACTTATGACTCGCATTTTATGGCTCTGGGTAACGGTTTCTGCTGATCGACAGATCAGAAGAATCCGAAATGCAGACCAGTTTATGCAAACCGACATGACTGTAAACTAAAAAACTACTTCTTGTTGCTAATTGAAGGTGGACCTTTCACGGTTGACAAGTACACTGATATCGATAAGCCATAACAAAAATAAGATAAAAAATACTCAATTCTAAGCCAACAATGAATAGAGGACTTCAGCTGGAGCTGGAAAGAGGTCTTTAGGTCAACTGAAGCGGGCAAGTTTCCACGAAAAGTTGAAAAAAATCATGTGGCGTTGAACATAGAAAAAGAAAGACAATTGTAATTTGGACATGAATATAGAAACTCGACTTATATATATCACTTTTCAACATTTTGATCCTGTTTGACAAGCATAGGTCACGTTTAGCGACAGGTATCACGTGCTCAGAGCTGAAACATGGAAAGGAAAAACTTGTTTCGAAGAGCTGAAACGAGGAAGAAGGAATGCCAAATGAAGAACAAGACCTTTCGACCGTGTTTTTTTAGTGTCTATTATTATCTTAGTATACCATCTGAAGATGACTAAATCATAAGCTATGTCTGGAAATCACGGGTCTCAGTTCGTTCGAAGGAATCAGAACTTGGGAATGTCAGGAGTTGTTTTTGATACTACTGCTTAAAAGAGCTCCCCGGGTCAATTGACTCTGTGATACGTTCCGGATGAATAGAGCTGAAACGGTAGAGATTTAAGATATCATTTTAAGAACAAGAAAATATCGGACACGCCACCAAATGGTATATAAAGAGTTGACTTGTGCATCTGCCTTCATACTCGGTGGAGTAGTTGGAAAACTCTGTTCTAAGAAGCAAGAACTTAGCTGGAGCCTTTCCTTGTACAAGCCTGTGAGAAGCCGACATGGTAGGTTTACTACAGAATTATTGCACTTGTCAGCAACACGAAAATTTTGAATTCTTTTTCGAAAAACTTAGATGCCAAGTCATTTCAACACTAATGTCATTTTTCTTTTCTTTTCTTCAGGATTTCAAAGCCTTTATTCTGTGCTTTGCATTCTTTGTTGTTACTGTATCAGCGTGGGCAATTTGCAAGTGTGCAAAAGAGGAAGACGAACCTAAGGTACATAAAAGATTTCATTTTGTTTTTCTGTAACTTGTGCATTCTTTAGTCTCACGGCAAGTTATTCGTAGAGGAATTCGAGCCGATCTGATTCTGTGCTTTGCGTGGGCTAGAGACGAGCCGAAGCCGGTAAATAAATATTAATGATTTCCTTTTGTTTTTCTGTAATTCATTGTTTTGCAACTAAGTTCTTCTCCATTCCTCGAGACATGCACTTCGTCATGTGTTTCTCTAGCGGGTAAATTATTATTGCAAAAAGAAATGGGGTTCGGTATGAAGAGAAAGATCTGTCTCACATGCACGTGCAACAGTTTGTTGACGTAGCTACGGAGATTCAGAATTCTTCGTTGTTCATAAACTTTTTGTATTTTTATTTTTGCTCAAGGTCGAAAAAGAAGTTATTTTAGCAAACCCTGGCACGGGAAATTGATTCTTGCGCGCTTGGACTTGTTATAAAGTGTTTGACCTTTGAAATCAGTGAAAGGACACGAAATCAACTTTTCTCACTAGATACTGTTCCAAATGTTTGAAAACAGGCCTCTCAAACTGTGGCAGATAAAACCAAGTTTGATAATTAAACTGTTTTGTTGTAGAAGATGGTTTCAACGATTTGAGTCTGCTCGCAGTTGAAACACGCTAAACTCTCAAGTGAAACCTACTCGAGCATTTCTTTCCAATGGTGGTTTAATTCATCATGCAAAATAAAATGGTTTCCACTTTTCGGGTCTGTGGATGAATTAACTGCCTACGAAAGCTCCTTAGCAGAACTTGCGCGTGGGTATGCGAAGACGAATTTTTAATCGAGAAGAACGAGTCAGTAGACTAATATAGAGGTTGTGCGACAGTAAAAGCAAAGGTAGATGGAGATCATCAATCTTATTTGTACTTTTTTGAAGGATGCGGTATCAAAGTACAAACTTAAAGTGAAGAATGGATATACGGAACTTGATGAAAGTATTGAAATCGACACCGAGAAGGAAACTGAAAAGTTCCACATTCCAGACAATGGCAACACCAGTGATTCAGCCCCTGGAGAGGTCGATGTTGTTTACGATTTTAAGTTGGTAAGTAAGAGGGCAGGCCTGGGTAGGGTAGCATAACGATGTTGGGGGTGGAGGTGGGGGACGGGGTAGTGGCATCATTTAAGATAGATTTTAACTACTTCTATTTCCTACCTACCTACCTACCTACCTACCTACCTACCCAGCTGTCTATCTACCTATCCACCTACAGGTACTAACTTGCTTATCTACTAATCTACCCTCTTATGTGCCTGCTTCATTAGTTACATTTCAACTACAGTTACTTTTTTACGTACTTAGTACCTTTCCTCCTCACTTAATCTATTTAGAGGTTTGCTTCCTCAGCCTCCTTGCATTAATATTGGTATCTTACTCAGTTCAAACATCATACAAAATCCACCATTTACCTAACTCACCAACCCAAAGCCGGCACTTGACTAAATAGCTGGCCAACTAGTTGCCTAAGTAATTAATACCTCGCTCGCTTTTATATGCCATGTCTCAATTTTTTCCTCTTTTCTATTGCCATAGAACTTGGTCATGCACAGATTGTCCAATCAGAAGGCTTGTTTCCTGAGCAACTTCACTGACAATATGCCGAAGCCTGCCGACCTCAAGAAACTTCTTGATATGGTAATTGACACTTGATTTGTTTTTAAGGCATTCAGTCCTGGGCTATTGTAGATCGTTTCGGTTTAGCTGAATAAAGTCAAACAAGAGCCATAATTACCGAGCGTTCTGATTGGTTCTTTCTTGGTTAGATTTTTGCCATATGGACCGTTTCCATGGCAGCGGTTATATACAGTATGGCTCTTGAAACTAATGATTGATTTGATTTGATTTACCGTTTTAAAGGCTCCTGTTTTATGTGCCAAACAATTTATAAACATTGCGATTGCCTTTTATTATTGTTATTTTTTTGCACTTCTTGTTTTAAGAAAAATGCATGTAGTACATACAGTTTTTTTCAGTTATTATCACTGGTGGAACTAATGTGGTTTTCACTGGCTGATATCGAAGTAAACAAAGAAAGTAACATTGAACTGTGCATGACTTTTTTTTTTTATTCATTTAGTTTACTATTCGCGATTGACAAATTAGAAACAACGGTTATCATAATTACAGTTGATTAAATAAGTCTCAAACAAACACCTACCCCATATTTAAAATATACATAAATTGCTATTAGAACAACTAACAGTCCCTTCTTGCATTCAGGGCTCTTCACAGAAAAAGCCTGAAAATAGAAAGTACGACTATGTAGTTGATGGCGCTGTTAATGATCGCTCGTTTCTGAGTGATGAAATGGCTGACCTGTGTTCCAAGCTGCCTATCTATCGCGTCAAGACTGTACTGGCGGAGGAACCTCCGAAACGTAAGTTAAACTGTTGTTTCCTACTCGGACTGATAAAGATCATTAAGAATATTTACCAAGAGGTAGTCTAGACAACTGTTCACCAAACTTCTCCGAATGGTATAAATTCAACCCTCACAAAAGGGGATAGAGAATGTATGGCAGAGGGCTATCTTAAAGAGGTAAAATGCGTTTAAATAATCTCGTATGGGGTTTAATTCAACTGTCTACCTGGAAGTCTAAACTTAGGGTTATCTCTAAAAACAAATGATTGTTTCTTGACCGTTTTTGAAGAATTGTTAAGTTTTTTCAAGGTTGCCAATTTTGAGTGTTGGCGTTTTTTACTTTTTCAAGGCATCCCACAAGAATATTAAAAGAAAACGCTTAGGTTGTCGAATTTACGGTTATGTTTACGAGAATTTCTGTTCAAGAATATAATAGGATTTCCTAGTACAGAGAAGTGAGTCACGCATATTAGAGGAATTAAACACCCAAGATCGTTTTCAAAGCACTAACTAACTCCTGGAATTTAAAACCGAAACAATGGAGAAAAGTGCTGAGCAAGAGGCACCGAACCGGTCATCAAAACGACCAGAATGTTTTGTTGATCTATGAATTCTTATAATCTTTAGTGTACAGTTTAATCTTCAGTGTACAGTGCATACAGTCTTGTCTTCCAGCATTAGCTTTTCCAGAACATCTAAGAAAGCACTTAAGGGTAGTGGGGGATTTTAGAGATAAGAGGAGGATGGAGGTTTATTACGAAACGTAACTTCCAAAATAATGGGAATGAAAAGGGATTTAGCCATGTTATCCGACTGTATTTTTATTGTGTTGCATGACAAAAGCGCCGAACCTGTTGGTATCGAGTAACAAAAATCACAATCTGCAATGGTAACGGTTGCCTTATAATAAGGATTTATAGGTTGATAGGATGCTGGTGAACAAAACCTCCTGACTCACTTGTATAACCGCAAGATATTTTGAAGGTGGCTAGTGACAGGTCTCATAGTAATTGTGTTCCTCATTTAGTGTTACTTTCAAGTCTTTAACTTCAGAGAGCATCATTTGATTGGAACTTCGGTGCCCTTAATTTTGTTTCGCAGAAACGGTTTTAGATTCCTTACGGAGTAAATATAGTTTAAATCTTGAAAGCCATTACAAAATAAGAGCAATCAGAGTAACTGATGACCTGGATTACTGTTGCAACTAACCATGAGAACATCATGCAGAAACTGAGAAACGAGTTTTGTCAAAATAAAAACTTGAAACAACTAACGATGCTTTTAGTCCCAGACTGATGCGAAATGTTCTTTCCAGGTTCATCGCAAAACTAAGAATCGATCTTTTTAATCTATACAGAGTAATTAACTCGCTGCTTCAAATCATGTTTTCTGTTTAGTTGCGCGTGTAAGGTCCGTTAAGTAGCAAAATTATAAACGAAAAGATTTTTCGAAGAAGTTTTTGATTTTAATGTGTGGAATAAACAGTTGTAAAGGAAGTAGCTATAAATAAAGCCACTTGCTTGGGGAAGAGATTTGTGTGTAGTTCATTTCTATTGTTTCTGTCCAGGGTTTCCCACGGTCACGCGATTTCTTTTGACCCCACAGTTGTTACACTTCGAATAACATGAACACAGCAAAAGAATTGGGAAGTCTGATCTACTTTAATTGGTTAAGCCTTTTAAAACGTCTCTTGCACTGGATGACATTCAATTATAAGTTCATCTATTGGAATTTTGTTTCACGGTGTTCTTTCGTGGGAAAAAGAGCAAGGTTTTGTTTTGCTCTATTAGCCAGAGTGCGTAACAAACAACAAAACAACTAGTGCTAGTC